GTCACGTTGTCACCCTCTTTTATTTAGCAGACTACCCTATCTAGTAAATACTAGAGCATTCGCCAAAGTACAGGATAGTTCTAGAAAGTAGAGGGTGTGAGAATCACATGATCTCGATGACGCAACAATATATATATACCAGACCACCCCCAATCTTGTAATCGCCCGACAATTCACGAAGGAACAGGATATTTCTAGAAGGAGGTGGTGTGATACCAGTCAAGTGACCTTGCTGACGCAACAGAAGTAATTATTTTTTGCCTAAATTACCGAAACACGTTTTCATTTGTACTTTTCTTTATAATTTGGAATATAGAGTCTCATTGTGAAATTTTTTTTATGTCTTCAAGCCTTGTATAATACACGGTAATACAATTATTAATACTTAGTCCGTGTGACTTAACTTTTTAAGTTTGTAAAGTACATGTAACAGAAGTGACGTGGCAGGGTGTTCTCAAGCTTCTGCTTTTCTGCCCTTATGGTAAAAAAGTGTCTCTTTTTCTCTGTCACAAAAGCTGTCAACTATAAAAAGATATATCTGATTCCATACCTTGCTTGCTGTGAATTATTAAGAAAGACAAAATAGATTTCAGCTTTAAAATAAATGTAACAAGTTGTAGGACTTCACGGTAATAATTATTTTTTTAATATGCTATTAAATGTAAATAAATAATTGAATAGGAATTAAAGAGGACATCTTTCCATTTATAGATTTTATCTTATGTGTGTGTACCAGCGGCAACCACAGTCGCCAGAGTCTCCTATAACACCCCTCCCTTCGAAAAAAAAGTTTTGCCTTACGATGATTGAAAAGTGCTCATCTTTTACTGATGACATAATTGCCTCTGCACATTACTGTGTGACAACCACGTTGTTTATTTATGACGTACGGGAGTTGATTGTGGCTTCTTGAGTGCTTTTTTTTAGAATTTATTTTACAGCACATATTGTAACTTCTAGGTTTCACATCCTCTAGTAGTTTAAAGACCATTGAAAACCCTTTTTGTTTTCTTTTTATAATAGATTCATATTTTTCCATGATTCTAAAAATATAGAAAAAAGATATATTTTATTTCCACATTTGGCTTTCCATATTAATAATATATGTGTGAATAAGAAAATTGAAACTAGCAAGTGGTAACCTAGTCTAACCCTCAGCTGGTTTTCTGCACCGGAGTTAGTGAAAGCTACATTTTTCCATATTGTTTATGAGACTGAAAGCTGCTGGAAGTTCTAAATAAGTGAATATTAAGATAGAGTTATATCTTATGAACCTGTATAAGACTAAGCTAGTAAATTATTACCTTGTATAAACCATTTTTCCAGTGAGATTCATCCCATGGAGGAACGTTGCTAATCATAATATTAATACTACTGCTAATAGATCATTTAATATCGCTATCATAGTATCAGTATCAGTAAATTTTGTAACATTTATGTCAGTATATTATGAAAATTAAGTCATACTGACCTTATTTTTACATCGTGGTTAATCATAAGAAATCTTGAACTTTTGTTTAGTGGTCATAAATTTTGTAATTGACAAATCATATTACTATTATTAGAATAAGTAGTACTAGTAGTATGTAGTGTTGGTTCATGAAATACATGATGCATGTACCAACCTACTATTATTAATAATACTCTAATAGCAATACTCAAATAATTAAAGGGATTAATTACCAGTTATGTCAAGTTGTGTGTTTTGAAATGTCTGTTTTATTTGTTTGTATATACAACAGAACAGGTTTATCAGAAAAATGAGCTTGTTTTGTTCAGTTTTGACTAGTATTAATCATACATTTTTCATTTTGATAATTATGCATGTATGATGTAAGACAGTTCCTGTCTGTTAGAATAGTACATTGCTAAATTGAAATCTTAGTCCTTGATAATTGTTTTGAATGATTTGGTTTATTAACCTGTATAAAGTTATAGCATATACCAAGGGAGCTTATTGTTTGTGAAATACATACACAGTATATATTCTTGTAATTGTCTAATGCAAATAGTGAATTAAAAATAATGTAATGGATTTCCTTATTCTATGAAACTCAAACATTATCTCTGTGTTGCTAAATCAAGTTTCATTCAAGTGACAAATGTTGATTATTTCAATGTAGAAACATTTGTATTTATAGAAAATTAAAACTTGTTATTTTTCAGATTTCTAAACTGGCATTAATAACTCAAAAAAGGTTCCTCCAGGATCAATTGTTAAAGAAAATAAATATTTTTATCATAATTTTACCCTAGTTTCTTTTTGTACAATTAAGGTTCAGACTTATTTTACAAGATACATTTGCACACATTCATGATCAGGATGTGAGTTGTCTCCTTTGAAGTTGAATCTTTATAACTTGTATAGCATTGAACATAGGGAAGTATTGTTATAAGAGGGCTGTGAGCTCTAGTCATGTACAGAGCTGATTTATTAACATCCTGATGTGTTCTATTAGTATGCAGCTTGAGGTATTTCACCCACTGAGGGTTTTTCAGTTTGAGTAGTTATTAAATAACATGGACTTGTACATCCTTGGCTCAAAGATTGGCCTGATGTTCTCAGTTTCTGTGGGTTTGATAATCATTATGGCTGTTTTAGGCCAGAGGAAGAATTGTTTTTGGGTGGGGATTATGAAATGGTCAGAGTGAGAATTAATTTCCTGAAACTTGAGTCTTTATAGCAATGATGTAAGTCAAGTACTCCAAGTTCGGGTTCTGGTAAGGACAGATTTCTTGACATCCTGATTCATTAAAGCTCAGACTTAATGCAGATTTAAGGCTTAGAATTATTTTGTTATACTCATACATGTATATGCACTTGTAACTATATATGGAATGGGTGGTAATTGCTTGCACTCAAAAATTATTGTGTATTGTAAATACCAGGCTACTCATCTGTCCAACCTACATGGAGTCCAGCTGGCAAGATGTGCTGAATGTCACCACCTATCATCTAGCAAGTAATAAGGAATTAGGGCTTCGCTGGTTTTCTCAACTTAGATCAAATAAGGAGAGGGTTCAGTTCTGCTTCAACTATCAAATATTTAGGTTTGTTATTTTATTCAGTGTTCATGTGTTTATATTTATTTCAGAATATACTTTTAATATAATACTACAGAATCGCATCAATGAATACCTGCTATATTTAAGTAGAAAATGTTTTGAAATTATGAAAGAAATGGATGAGCATGCATCATATACGATACATGTTAAATGACAAGTATATATATATATGTATATTTGTGTATAAATTATGTGCTAGCTTCTGTTATTGTGTTAAACCTACATTAATTATAAAGTAAAATTCAAAGCTTGTTACTAAAATTTACCATAAAAAGTTTTTTTAGGTTACAAGTATATAAAATATATAATATGAAATAGTAATAGAATACAGATGCATACTTCATCTGCACTACTCTTACTTCCAAAATGATATGCTACCTCTCTGCATACAGTAGCTATTTCTTATGCATCTGCCTTGAGAAATTTTCATATTCCACTAACTTCGAGCTATCTCCCACCTAAGTTGTGTTCTAATGTGAAATGCACTAGGGCATGATGTAATCATAATGTGACAATAGCTCTCCACCAGTAGGAGGGCTACACATATGTCCCCATTAGTACTTGCACTCAAAATTAACTACATTCTTATCCATGGCACTGTCTTTCATGGACATGTTTCTTCAAGTTCAAACTTAATTAGTTTTGTGCTGTCTTTTACTGTTAACTTCCTTGGTTCCTTTTAGTTTATTTTAAATTTTATTTAAAGTTACATTGCCACTAAATAACTAGAAAAAACAAAGACCTTTTTTTCTGGAGAATTACTGCAATGACCATGAATTTTCAGGTGACAGTGACTACTACCACCTCTGGAGGTTCTGGCAATGTTCCTAACACTGTTCCTACTTTGTCTATGGGCACTGGAGACTCATTGACTGTGGAAAACATTGCTGCCATATTTCATTGTGTCATTGGTTATTTGATGCCCTTTCTTGCCTCATCTATCTGTCCCTGTGTTTGAAGTATGTTCTTTTTCTTCTGAACCTGATCATGAGGACAATGACTTTGATTGGCTTTTTCCATCTCCTCGGTTTGCGCTAGGCTTCTCCTTACCAGTTGAGGACAGTGTTCCTCCTACAAACCTCTTTGTGAATTTGCTTAGTCAGGTTTGTTCTTTACTTTTTCTTTCTTTTTCCTTCTTGGTTCTTGTCTCTCACAAGGTCATAAATCCATTCCTGTTCTATGAACCCTTAAACTCTTCACCTCACTCTCTTTTCCTGCTTCTCACCATCTCTCATCTCATTGGGTTGGCTGTTGCATGTTCTGTGAGTTACTCTTTCCCTTTGTACTCCATTGACTCTGTCTCTGTTGGACTACATCTGTTCTGTTTGCAGACCTTTGGACCCCTTTTGTGGCTGACTGGTGGATCATTCAGGTTCTTACACATGGCTTTTCTCTTCACTTCTTGTCTCTTCTTTCTTTTTCCTTTTTTCCTGTTCCTTTCAGTTCCCAGCATCTTTCTGCTGTGATGCTTGCAGGCTGTATCATGTCTCATCACACTAAATTTGCCACTTGACTCACTCTTTGGCCTTGCACTTTAGACAACTATTGGACAAGATCTTCCAGGCTGGAATATGGACTACACCCAACACCATCTCCTCTCCCATTATCTCCACCATCTGGCAGTTTTATCTTCCTAAGTATATTGCCTCCCTCCAGTCACCATTCTAAAGTCTACTCATTATCTTTAACCTCCTCACAATGGGCATCCTTTTGTGTGCATGTCACAAGGTTTTAGTGAGTTACATTCAAAATCTAATTAACTATTTCTTATCATGGTATTTGGATAAACTTGGCATAAAACATAGCTAATAATTCAAAGTCTAATATTATATATATTTTATATCTTAATTTTATAAGACAATATAAAAAAAATTATCAATTTTCTCTTGTGTGAGAATTGTTACATTTGCTCTCTAGGTATCCCCTCTTCTCTAATTTATTTACCACCCCTCCATGAGGTACTAAATTTAGGGTAGATTGTTCATTATAATCTTGTAATCACTCATGCAAAGCATAATTTTGATAGCCTTCAGTCTTATCTGGTTACAGATCCATAAACTAGAAAATCGGACCCTCTTCCCACAACTGCCTGTCTCATCCTTGCTTTCAGAAATTGCCAATATTTTTCTCTAACATTTAATAGTATATTATTTATTGTATTAAATAATCAAAGTTTTAATATTTCAAACTTTATTCCCATGAGAAACACATTGACTAACTTAGCTGAATTTTTAATGGCTCTTGTTGAATAGTTATAAAGGCATACAAATTGTGATAACTATGGAACATTATCTGTTTTTGGCATGTTATTATTCTGTGTTCTTTGGTGCATTATTTAATTAAATAAAGAAAAACTTAGTGCAGTATTACCATAAGTATAAAAAAGTAGGGTTAGTTTCATCGACAGTTGACAGCAAAAAAAACAGTAGACCCAGGTAAGTACTTTATTTCTTGTTTTTCTTGTGTATTCTTTCTTTATTATGTAATTAATATTATGTAACTAAAATGTAATAATTAGAAGCTTTTTAGGTTAGATAAGATGAAATAAAGAAGAAGAAGAATAAATCTTTTTCATGAGGTATGGACATAAGCAACTCACGAGTGGCCTGTGTATTAGGTTATCCGATATGGTAACATGATCTACAGATTCGCCAAGTGACTTACAACTTGTGTGATGCAAGTATTACTTAGACATGGTTCAGAGGGAAACAATAAAATTTAACTAGAAACAGATGTATACTGTTATGAGTTTAAAGCTATTTATTATAAACAAATGGTGTTTTATGTTACAATTTGAAGTCATTCTAGAAAGAAAAAAGGGTAATTTAGATTTATTTCATATTTTCTTATGGTGGTTATGAGGTCAGTCAAATTGATCAACCTTTTATAAAGTTAGGGTAAAGAAAATAGATGAAATATGAAGTTTTACTGAAAAAAACTTGAAATTTATTTAGAAGGTTTTAGAGGTTCTGCAAATGAAATTTGAGGATTTTCAAACAAAGAAAAGTATTTTTAATCTTAACATGAAAGTTATTTTGCACTAGGAGTAGTCAGCTCTTTGACTACGTATGTTCACAAATAAATTTTTAGTGAAAATACTACATTAAAAATTTTGATTTTTTGTCTCCAAATGACTCTTAATGCCTACTGAAAATTTGCAAAATTTTGTGAAGATATGCAAAACATATTAGAAATTATAATATTGAAATTGTTAAGGTCAATTTTTAGGTCAAATCGATTAAGCCTGTTGTGAGAGAGAGAGTTAACAGGTAAGTGCCTCTTTTAGATCCTTACCTGTGTTTATTGTTCTCCCATTCACTTCTCGGAACTCACCCAGTGGTCAATGTTGCCTCATAGGGTATACTTACTTTCCTAAGCCTGCATTGAGTTAGAGATAACAGAGAGTGTCAAACCCATTTGCCCTGTCTCCTAAATAGCTCACTGTTGAGATGAGTTTTCCTAAAGACCACTATCGTGGTGTGTGTGTATTTATATATATATATATATATCCTTGTCCATTCCAGATCATACCTTCCATGGATTATCATGGGAAAAAGCCAGCACCAAGGACGTGTCTGCCTACTTCCCTGGCTTATGCATGCCGACTTTTCAAATTAAGTTTTGCAGTACTCCATTGCACTTTCTCTAGTAAAAGACCTTCATATTGGTTAGGTGTACTTGGATATAGGCACCTTTCTGGTGGCTCCAACATGAATTCATCCCACTCCCTGGTCTTCAAGTGAAGCATGGGAGACCCTTGCCACTCCTATTTCCTAGCTGCTGAGGTGGTTGACTTGAAATATTCTTACTGATTATGTGATTCCTCCAAAGTGAGTCTGAGTTGGTACACCAATGCAGTAGAAAGTAGAGCAGGGGTATCATGTCAGTGTAGTACAGATCACCCCCTGTTATATATGTCAATGTCCTGGTAGTTTGACCAGCCAGATGGAATGAAGTGTTCTCCTAACTCAACAGGAAGGGACTTAGTTCTTGTTCTTATATTCAAAGTGAGTAAATTGTACAACAGAACACATACCAAACTGTATGGTCTGATCATTGCCCTAGCCACACTACACCTTATGTCCAACTGACCTGTTGCGTGCAAATGCTCAGTTGGTCATGTACGTTTCTGCCCATCCCTGCAGCATATTGGCTTATTTTGTACTTCAGTCACAGTGAAGAGTATACTCTGCATGAGATTGGTGCAGTTTCTCATGAGTGTTACTCCTTTAGTAAGCCCCACCATAGGGTATCACACTTCAAGGGCTTTCTACTTCATTTGCCTTGTTTGAAAGGAGCTCATCTATGTTATTGCAATTGCAGTGGTCCTTCCACCACATCAATGTGGGATTCTAGTTAGAATGGGCAGAGAGGTATGTATATCATTTCAAAAGTTAACATCTTCCTTACCTGAAAATTTACTTCCAGTAGATGATTACTTTTCTGCACACCTTCCCACCCTACCTCCCCATTACAGGTGCACATTATCTTATGACTGTAAGTGTTTTTGGGGATCTACTGTGCATGAAGCTCAAGGCAGTTGTGCAAGGAATGGCTACTGTGTACAGAGGGGTAAGTATCTTTTGGAAATACATTTTTAGGTAAGGAAATTGTAACCTTTTTTGGACATGTTTTTTTATGGAGTACTTTGTAACTCCTACTGTGTTGATTTGACACTGTATCAATTTGAGATTAAGAAGAGTAATAGTACAATATTTATTGGATTAAGATTTTAGTAAATCCTATATCTATAGTAATTTTAGTATAATGCTTTAAAAGCTTTTATATTTTAAATACTAAACTTTTGTAGAATTAGTTTGTATACATGTATACTCAGAGGTTAATAAGTGATACAGTATTTGTTTTAGCCACTTTGATAATAGATTTGGGGGATTAAGTTGATTAATCGATTACCTGTCAGTATTGATTACATCAATTATTGTCACATAGAATAATTGATTTATCGAAAGTACCATTAAATTGAT